GTCCTGCATCCGACGGGTGAAAACACGAGGCTGGGAGTCGAGTGTGACGCCACGGAGCCCCGGGACGGCCTGGGGGGACCCGCCCCCCACGGGCTCTGGTCTTGCGGCCACTGTCCTCTGCAGGGCTGGGAGCGCTGGGCGCGGTCGCCCGTGGGAGGGTCGGGGCCGCGGGCCCCACCTCTGCCTTGGCTCACGCACCTTCCACGAGGATCTCGATGACCTCGTTCACGTTGAAGCTCAGCTCGTCCACATCCTGGCCCACGTACTGGTACAGGGCCCGGCAGCGTGGGCCGTGCACCCGTGGCTGGGGCTTGGGCCGGCCCGCAGGGGGCAGCGGCCGCTGCCCCACACTGCGCTTGCGCTGCACACTGTGGACACAGAGGGCGCGTCACAGCCCCGTGGGTGCCGCCACGCCCCCCTCGCCGGGGCTGCCCCCACCACCTACCCAGCTGCGCCCTGCTCAGGCACGCCGAGGAATTCTGTGTTGTGCTCGGACGGGGGCCGTGCGCGGGGGCGCCTGCTGGACCCCAGCGCTGAGGGTGGCGGGCCCCGCGGCGGCCGCTGGGACGCCCGGCCCGCGGCCGGCTGCACAGGCAGGGCCCCTCTGGCGGAAGCGGGCACTCCGTTGCGGTCCAGGCCTGTGGCAGAAACCAGGGCGGCCCTTAGCGGGCTGCTGGGCGGCTCGGGAGGGCTCGCTGGGCGCCGTCGATGGGGAGCTGCTCCGGCCCCGGCTGCTGAGGGCGGCGGCTGAGACCACGCAGCCACGCGCCGGCCAGCGCAGGGCACACGTCAGCAGTTGGCGCACTGAGATGGCGGGCGCGGGTGGGTGTGGCGGGCGGAAGAAGGGGCCACTGCTTGGGGGCAGATTCTGAAGGGCTCGAGTGCGAAGAGCTCGGCTGGGAGAGGGGACTGTGGCCGACCTGCAAGGAAACCCCCTGCTCCTGCTTCGGGGTGCGGTCAAGTGTTGGCTCCTCTGTGCCCTCAGTGCGCGGTGGCCAGAGCTGGGCCAGGGCTGCTTTAGGTTAAAAAAGCAGGTGGTCTCGGAGGGGGCCGGACAGGCCTGAGCCAGCAGGTGCATCAGATGCAGGGCCAGCCCGCGGCCACGCCCAGCCCCCCCAAAGCTGCCCGAGCCCTTGGGTGCAGAGGGGTGTGGCGGGCTCCGCCCTGGGTCCTGCCTCGCACGGGGGCAGGTTGGACGGGGGTTTTGATCTCGAAGCGAGTGGGTTTTGCAAATGGGTCAGTCAGTCTGGAAGGCGGGCCCCAGGAGGGGGTCGCAGGGGCCCCAACTCTGCGCCCACCTCCCCGCCCGGCGCTCCTGGAAGAGCGTCTACGCAGACGCTTGCTGGGGGCCGCAGGCCTTCCAGACCTTCAGCGCCCCACAGCAGCCCTCGTTTCTCATCCCGCTCGCTCCAGAGACTCGCCGAGACCCTCACTCCTGTCTGCGCTTCAGACGGCCGCCGCCGGCCCTGGCTCCTGTCCCCTCCGGGCCGCTGAAGTGGCCCGCTGCTGGCCCCGCGGGCCCAAGGGCTGCACACGGGCTCCTGGTCCCTGGCCCCGCCTCGGACAGAGGTGTCTGCCCGCCTGTGCCCGGCACCTCTAGGAGCTGTGCCCCGGCCTCTCCGAGGCCGCCACGGCCTCCAGTCCCCGGCACCCCGCCGAGCGCCCGACTGCGTCCTGTGTGGCCCAGCCCAGGCTCACGGCCGCCTCAGCAGAGCCCCGGCCAGCACCTCAGCCCCAGAGCTGGGTCCTGGTCGGGCCCCGTCTGTGTGCCCACGGGTGGCCTTGGGAGGGACGACGTCCTGTGGCACGGCAGCCTGGGTCGGCTACTGGACGCCGTTGAGGTAGGACAGGAGGCCGTTGTGGCCCTAGGAGTTCTTCCTTCCCGAGCGCCCCTTTGTCAGCAAACCGAGTTGCTGGGCCCTGAGCCCAGGTGGGGTCTTGCCACAGCGAGCACGCAGTGAGGACCCCCAGGGGGCACCCCTCGGCCTCTTGGTGTCAAGCTCTGGCCGCTAGATCTTGCTGCTGGAGGCTGGGCCGGGCAGGCAGGAGCAGCAGGGTGCTCAGAGGAAAGCTCACCTCTGGGGGCTGCGGGGGCCGCCCGGCTGGGGGCCGGGGCTGATCTTCGGGGTTTGCCCTGGTCCATCATCCCCTTGCGTGTGGGCTCTGAAAGGATGGGGGGTTTGAGGGGTGGCCCCCCACAAAGCCAGTCCACTCCGTGGGGACCCCCGCCGGGCTCTCTGGCCGTCTCACCAGCAGCGCCCCTGAGTTCATCGCACCTCGGCTCCTCAGTAACCCAGGACCCACCCCAGCCCGGCTCCCGCACGTCCACCAGCGGTGCTCAGGCCTCTGGGCATCTCGCACCCCCTCACCGGGCACTGCGCCAGCCCCGCCCACCCACGATGACCCGCTCTCCGCAGCCCTGGCTCCTGGACGGCCTCGCTGGCCCTCCGCCGCCTGGAGGGGTCCCCGGCCCACCCCCGCCACGGGCCCCGGGTTCCTGACCGCCCTTCGGCTCCGCCCTCCTGGCAGACTCACTGGAGCTTTTGGGCAGCCCGTCACCCACGCTGACCGTGAGGGTGCGGCCGCTGGCCTTGAGCACGGCCACCTCGCCGGAGCCGCGGGTGAAGGCCACGCTGCGGGTGCTGCCTCCGCCCCAGCCCTCCTTCTTCACCCGGAACTGTAGTCTGTGGGGAGAGGGGGGCTGCCAGGGGGGCCGGGGGCTCGCCGCCCATCCCGCCCTGGCCGGGCCGGGCCAGAGCAGAGTGCTGGCCGCTGGGGCGGGAGGCTGGGGCCACGCACGTGTCGCTGAAGGTGAGGGGCAGGGGCCTCCGGACCGACTCCTCGAAGCGCTTGCACAGGAGACTCACGAACTCGGTTTTGAAGACGCTCTCCAGAAAGCTGTCGGCCGCGTCTTCTTGGAGGATGAAGAAGTCGTCCTGGCGCGTGCTGGGGAGGGCGGGGCGCGGTGAGCTGAGCGCCGAGGGCTACGGGAGAGGGCCGGGCGGGGGGGGGCCCGAGGGGCAGGTGCCCTTGGCAGACACGGCGTGGGCAGGTAAGGTGACGCCGGCGAGAGGGTGACCGCGGTCGGGGGCCGGGCGACAAGTCTGGGGGCAGCAGAGGCGGGCGGGCAGGGCGTTGTGCCTGGGCAGGGCCGGGCCTCACCTGAGGGAAACCCCTCGCAGGGCCTGGATCTCCACTTTCTTCTTGAGGGTCTCGCGCACCTGGCCCTTTTCTGGCCCCTTCTTCACCTTCTCCCGCCCGATCACATACACGTACTTGGGCGTCAGGATCAAGTCTCTCTTGATGGGCTGAGAGGGCGCAGACGCGGTGGCAGTAGCTGCGCATGGCATCTTGCCCCGCAGAGGCACCCCAGGACGGGCGCCGCCGGCTATGTGAGGGTGCCCCTCCCCCCGCAGGCACGCGGGTGGGCGCATCACACAGGACACGGGATGGGTGTGTAGCTAGAAAGGGGCGTCTGGGTCGGGAGCCGGCCAAGCTAGGGGGCGCCCTACTGGATGTGGGTGCCCAGGCCAGGCGAGAGTATACCTGTGCACAGGTGTATCCGGGCCACGAGAAGTGTGTGCGGTGGACAGGCCTAGACGGGGGAGGGGTGTCCCTAATGGATCAGTGTGTCCAGGCTAAGTGAGGTGACGCAGCGGGCGGGGCTCCGGGGTCGGGGCTCCCGGGTGGGGTGTGCTGCTCTGCACAGGAGTGTCTGACCAGGTAGAGGTATCCGATGGACAGGTGTCTGGGTTGCCAAAAGGCTCGTGTGATGGACAGGTGTGTCCACACCAGCTGGGTACAGACTGTGGACAGTCGTGTCTGGGCAGGTGCCGGGGACCTCCGTGGTGCCAGGCTTGGGGGTGGCAGGCTGAGACCGGCGCCCCGCTGTGCCCACCCCCTGGCGCCTCACCTTGAAGCGCCGGTCGTACTTGGTGACCGAGTCGGCAAAGTCCACGCGCTCGCGCTTGCCCAGGAACTGCCGCAGCTCCGGCCGCTCCTCCAGGCCCAGGTAGTCCCCGACGAAGTTCCGGTTGATGCTGTTCCGCCTCCGCTCCTTCTTGTCGAGCAGGATGCTGGACGCTGAGGGACAGGCCGCGGCGGGGTCACGCCTGCTGGGCCGGCGCGCG